ATCACGCGACCACTGCGAGTTCAAAGTGGGTCCTTATACACCAGATGATATGGTATGTGCATTCGCAAGTGGATGTTGCGCCGCCTTCCTAAACGCACGTGTGTCAGGTCAATCCGTCCTTCGTCCCGACGCTAGAGATATACAACACCAAGGAGAAATCCACTCAAACCATTGAGCGAGATGGTGAATTATCGGTCGTGAACCACTCTTGTTCACGCGAACTCAAGTCTGGAGATAAAATACACATAGTAGTTGGGATATCTATTGAGTTCGCCCTTGCTCCACAACTCAAACCGCTGTCGCTCTGACTTCGTATGGCAGGGTACACTGGCGACGCATTGCTTGTTTCCTTCCACCTGCGCGGGCGTTGCCACCCGTATCGAACGAAGACTGTATCGCAATGGGTGAATGCTATTTTATCACAAACGTTCTGGTCCCCTGACAAGATTCTTAAGGAATAAGTCTGCTAACCTCCTCGAGCGCGCTTGCGACACATCATCTCACTCCCAAGTACGAACTCACGGTCCCATTGACCACGTCCCTCCTTTCAGCCACACAACTTGTCAAAACGGAATGGTTGCATGAGCTTATTCGCCTTGGAAGCACACCAGATGACACCCATCCGTTCAAATCATCACCTCTAGAGCAGGTCTTCAACCCCCCATTAGAGAGCAAATATAGACCGGTTTTTTCTCCCGCGTTGCCCCCTTCGGTGAAGTCCTTCAAGTTCTGGGAACCAAATGAGGAGAGACTCCATCTCTTGAAGGGTTATCGATTCGTTCTACTGGGGGACTCAGAAGGAGAAGTCGACCCTGAGATGAGAGAGCTGGTCATTCGTGGCGATGGCGAGTATGAGGGCTTCCCCATGAAGGTCGGTCAAGCAAAATGGACACAGATGCTTGCCAAAGCAAAGAGGAAAGTAGAAGAGGCGGGATTGAAGGTTGTCATCGTCGCTCGCGAGCAGGTTATCCAATCTACTGTCGGCTCAGACAAGTGGCGGGAGATGGCTGCTGATGCTCAGAGGTATGTGAATTTGTTCCTGCACTACTATGTCTGCGATGTTGACTTTAGGATCTGAAGTCTAAATTTGGCCATCGTCAATGTGGATACTATTCTGAATGCTGTGATTAAGGTTGACGCCTCGGTGATCATGGACAGCTCCGTGACTCAAGGTAATCTGACCCCAGTCTTCATCGGCTTATCCTAACTGCCACTTCCTCAGCGTCGTCGTCTGGGAACGAGTCTCCTCTCCCAGATTTCGTCCCAAACACACATCCTGATGAACCGTCCTTGCCAATTATTGCAGGGAGGCAGTCATTTCCTAAGGAACGAGAAGGCGTTGGTCTCGGATCACCTTCTCCTGCGATCCCTGGGCCGCCGATACCTCCTCCACCCCGCAAGGTATGCATATTAACTTGCCTTCGTGTTTGGGCTGACTCATTAAAGACCCTCGTTCGCCCCGCTAAACCCTTGTCTACAACGAGTAACAAAGAGGAGCCTGCCCCACCAAACATCAGCAATGAGACCCAGGCGGACAATTTGGCATTCACTCTGCCCCCCGTGTGTTAATCTTATCCACTGGCTTATATCTACTTTCTCATGACATTTCAGCTCCCTCCAGCGCGATCGATTAAGCTGAAGCGAAGAGCTGCTACCGTCGCCCCTACACCACCGCCCGAGGAACCAGCTGCCGGAAGCGAAACAAGCCAGGAACCACCCTTGAAGAAGTTCAAAGCACTCTTCGATGCCAGCGATCCGGATAAGATGGTTGTCGAAGGTCCGAGCAGTCTTCAAGCAGCTTACGACACTGATATGGGGGGGTCCATCGGTGTCACTCAGGGCAGCGAGAGTCTTACACAGAACGAGTCGCGACCCCTGCGTTCGCAAACAGCCATGCGCCCACGCAGACTAGAAATCGTAGCCGAGGAAGAAGAGGAAAGCGGTCGTTCACAAGTTGCACCCACGACGCCCATGTTAGTCCCAGACGGCCAGCGTCATTCTGGGGACTCGGCACACCGTCTCACCTCAGAGTCTGCACCGCAAGAGCCCCGAGAGTCTCATGTAGGACCTGACCCAGGAGGAAAAACCCGTTCAAAGCAAAAGAAGGCGGGTTCCGGACAAAGTAATCCAGTTGATACTGACCAGGCTTTCCTGACCGCTCTTGCATCAAAGAAGCGGGGCAAGAAGACCGAGGATGAGTTTGATCGAGAGTTTAACAACCTTCGCATCTCAAAACCGGAGGTTCAACGTGAAGAAGAGGAACAATGGGAGATTTTGGGAGATTTCGACACTGATGTGAGGAATGTACGGGGGAACTTTATGGTGGTGATCGACATGGATGTCTTTCGAGAATCTTGTTCTCGTACAACTGTTGCGATACGTAGTCACGACAGTCGGCCAAACTACAAGAAGTTTAAGAAGGTGGGCGTCATCGAATTCCTGTGCACCTGTCTTCCGAACACCTTTCCAGACACCAACTCTTTCTTCGCGAGCTCCGATCGAGCTTGTGGTCAAAAGCGAGAACGACTATGGAGTGGGCTCAGGTATACTCTAACGCTGTTTCTATGGACATCTCTGACGCCACATCAGGTTACTGGAAGGATAGCCAGACTGCAAAGGATTACACCACTTTGCCGCCTACTCAGACAGCGACGGGGGGTACTCAAAAGCGACGAGCACTCCTAGAGTCGGACGACGAAGAAGTTATTGACGCACCAGCTTCAAAGATGACTAGACGAACAGCTTATAAAGCCTCCCAACCGCAACGACCCGTTGCCGCGAAGCAACTCTTCTTGGACTCGGACGAGGAGATGTCACAGACCACAAAAGATGATCCTAGACCGACCCTGCCTGCCAGAGGGAGTAAACGACGTCATATCATTGCAGACGACGACTCAGATGATGGTGTTGCTTTCAAAGGATTCGGAAAGAAGAGGAAAGTACGGTAATGATCGTGAGCGTACAAAGAGGCGCTACGCTATCTCCTAGCACCTATAGTACATGTGTGTGAAAGACGGAAAGGATATCGCTAAGGAGCTCTTGCAGACAATTCATCGTGAATAGAAAAGCCGAGCAAACGTTGGGTTTTCGCAGCAACTCGACCTCCAGTTTGACTAAGAGTGTAAGTGAGTCAACGTTGTTAGGTTGGAGCTAGGTAAGTGAACATACCGTTGTTCTTGACAGACGAAGCTCTCGGGAGCACCTTCCCAATCGTCAAGGACGTTCTTGGTTGCATTTCCTTGCATTTCATCATCATCATTGGTCCCAAAAAGGTCTAAAGCCAGCTGGGTGTGGCTCACACCAGCGTACGTTGTCACACAACGTGGGTTAATCAGAATGCGGGCAGGCGTGTACACCGAGTTTGGCACAGTCAATCGGACAGCTGGGAGCACACCCAGAGGAAGGTCAGAATCTGGCATGGCGTCGAAATCTGACCCTGCGTTGGCGTCGGAGTCCATTGGTGGGTTTGGGATCTGCCGGCGATATCTCGCCCGAGCATCCGGCGCAGATTTCGTATCACGCAGAGCGGGGTCAAGTGCCTCGTCATCTTGGACACCCTCCAACGCTTTAGTGACCCAAAGGTCCCTACAGAACCATGCCTGAGTACTATCCAAACAAGGAGCATCTGGAGGGCGCTGAGGTACATCTGAGGAAGAGGAATTGTGGAAGTCTGTGCCGTAACGATATTTCAGACCCTTGTAGTAGGATTGAGCGGGGTCTACGACGTGAGTGCCGGCCTCGCAGCAGAAAACTTGGAAAGGTAGGTGCTGGATGTAACGAGTAGCTCCATTCTTGTCTCGAGGTGGCACAGTATCGGGTTTCGAGGACGACTTAGATTGTCGGAATTGATCACCATGGATATCTCGGGTGCGCCACCTAGACAGGAACAAAGAAACTGAGGAAAAATCGCACAGGTGACTGCTCATCTTATCTCACCTATCAGAAAAGATAAACTGGCCGCTGGACTCAGCCCAATCCATCCCGCACACCATAGAAGCTTCGTTTGCAATGCTAACTCTCAAAGTCTCCAAAATATCGTTAGGGCAGGTAAATCCCTTGAGCCAGATTACCCGGTAGAAGGCAATCTGTCGCTTCTCGCGTAGCTCTAAAAGCGGCTCTAGGGCGAGGTTTCGCATATAGGCCTCTTCTAAAGGATAGTAGGCAGCAGCAGGGTCCTCAGTCATCGAATGGACGCGGCGAATTCGGAAAGGCACGCCAAGAAGAGTTAACACTGCTTCACAGAGATCTGTGAGAGTGGATGTAGAGTCTGTAGAGCCATAATCCAGCATCGAGACGAATAGGTTGGAAGTACCGAGACGCTTCGCCAACTGTACGATGACAGCAAGTTGGTCGACAAGAAAATGGTCCGCTGAGTGAATGGCTAGAGCTATATAGTAGAGTCGGTCTTCTTTGGCAAGGTCGTCGTAGGCGTCGTCATCAATGTTTTTGTTTTGTCCGAAGGGTCGAATCAAGGTCGGACAGTAAGCGGCAACCCAGCCATTCAGTGAAAGTAGGCTTTCCACGGCGCCGAGGACGTTCTGAACATCTGCGTGACTGGTCTCCTTTGCAGTGATGCTAAACAGTAGTCAGGGTTAAACGTTAAGGAACATATCTCCTCGATCTACCACTCACTACGGCACCTGGAATCGCCCCCAATAGTCTCCGACACCACCAGCTATCAAATCGTCAAAAATGTCCGGCCTGGCGTCCCTCCCTATCCTCCATTGCATGAATTTGTGTTTCTGAGCATTTAGAGTCTTGTCCAGCCCAGTAACTCTCTGGAGCACATTATATCCCTGGTATTCTGAAATCGAGGATGGAGTCGTCTCCGGTGATGTGGATAAGAGGAGGTGCACCGTCAATAAAAGACCCAAAGCTGCAAAAAGTCTTGCCAGACGAAGTGGGAAGGCCATGCTGAAAAGTCTACCGCGTTTCGCAGAGGGCAAGTTTTGCCACGTTGGCGATCATCATCAGCCCGTTACGTTCTGGCTTGTCACTAGCCGACCTTAGCTCAGTTGGAAGAGCGCGAGACTGTAACGGATAAATTCATCTTGAGGTCGCCTGTTCGAGCCAGGCAGGTCGGATATTTCATTTTTGCATAGCCATTTGTGCAAGAAAAGGGCATTAGGCCTAGTCATTCCCCGGTGCTTGGAACACCTAACTTGCGAGCTGTGTAGAAATCACAACAACACAATAACTCGGGAAATGCCACCTGTATCAGGAAACATATGTTTTCACCAAGATGACTAAATGGATCTGAAGTCACTTCAGTCACTTGACCAGTTCATCCTCACCTGATGTGGAAATGGAATCACCCTCTGATTCATCCCTGAGTTTACTTGTCATTACACCAGTATCCCCAGACCCCAGTATCTCCTTTTGATTCTGATTCTGATTCTGACTCTTCCAACTCCTTTGTGCATGAGGGAGATGCATGATATTGTTGACTGCTAGGTGCCATTCAAGCACTTTGTGATGAGGTAGAGCATGCTTGTGTTGAACTTGCGCTTATAGCGGCATGTACAGCATTCATTACAGCGTGTTACTATCTTAGATAAGTAGTTAGATAAGGACTCTTAGTCACATCAACAGTCACATCAGTGACCTGTCACACTTGTATCCAGTATATAAACCCAGTGCTGTAATAGCGCTCAATAGATTGTTTCTTATACTCCAACCACTACCTGCTTACCAGCAAGTAATCCCCTCAGCACAGGTGAGTAGAGAGTTCC